ATAAAAACCCAATCTTTCTAGTTAGCATTTTTTTGTGTCTTGATTTAAGATATCCTTACATGAAGATAATCTCCTTTATTAACTTCTAAAGATTTTTTTAATTTGACTTTCAAATTTCAACTTTTTTTCCACTGCAAATTATTTTTTTGTATGTAGTTAAGTGGTCTGTCTCATCCATTTCTTTTTAGGTCCCATTCCACTTTGGTTTTTTGAGACAAGGTCTCACTAAGTAATTCAGGCTGGCCTTGAACTCAGTGATGCTCTTGCCTTTGATATATACATATACATATACACACACACATACACTCATGCACACACGCACATATGCACACTGGGGATCAAACTCACGACCTTTTCCTTGCCAGGCAGGCACTTAATTTGCTGAGCTATCTCCCCAGCCCTTTGCTTCTGTTTTCTGAGTGCTGGGGTTATAGACATGCACCACCACACATAGCTTTGTTCCTTACAGTTTTTTTGTGACAAGGTCTAAACTACACAGGTAGGCTGATTTTGAACTCAGAGTGGCCCTCCAACCTCAGCCTACAGATACACATTGCCACTCCCAGCTGTGGTTACTGTTTTAAGTAACTTCAGCCATTAACAAAAATAATACTTTTTTTTTCTTTTATCTTTTGGTCATTCTTGAGACGGGGTCTCGCTATGCAATTTAGTCTCCCTTCAGCTCACTTTGTAGACTAGGCTGGTCTCCAAACTCACACGATCCTCCTGCCTCTGCCTCCCTAGTGCTGGGATTACAGGCATGTGCCACCATGCCTGGCAACACAAATTATTTTCCTGACAAAATTTAGATAGAAGATACAAGTATTTCTGATTTAGTGTTCAGTCTGGTGTTAAAATAGAATATTTTCTTTAATCCTAGCACTGGAGAGGCTGAAGCAGGAGGATTACCATGAGTTGTAAGCCAACCTCGGCTACATAATAAATTTAGACCAGCTTGGAACTACATAATAAGACTCTGTCAAAAAAAAAAAAAAAAAGAGTATTTTACAAATTTCCATATTGTTAACATTTCTGTATGAAGCTAATGATAAAAATATTCCATTAAAACCGGTAAAGAGTAATAATACATATTCTCATTCATTATTACTTAATTTTTGGGTAGGCAGGTACCAGAAATTGAAGGCAGAACCTCACTTGACAGGCAGGCACTGTACTGTTAAGCTATATTTTCCCCCTGCTCACCGCCCCCTTCTCCCCCCCTCCTTTTTTTTTTTCTTTTTGAGACAGGTTCTCACTGTTGCAGTTTAGGCTGGCCTTGAACTCACTTTACAGCCCATCTTGTCCTTGAACACACAGGGTGATCTTTCTGCCTCAACCTCCCCAGTGCTGGGATTACAGGTGTGTGCCACCTCACCAGGCTCACTTAACTTTTTTTTTTGTCTTTTTGAGACAGGCCTTCACTATGTAGTGCAGGGTGGACTTGAATCCACTGTGTAGCCCATGCTGGCCTCAAACTCACAGCAATCCTTCTGCCTCAGCCTTCCAAGTATTAAGGTTACAGGTATACACCACCATGCCTGGCTCAGTTACCTTTTAAAAAGAGACAAATATTATTTGATAAAACTTTTGTTTTGGTTATTAATACATCTGTGTTTGCCCTAGTTCAAGTGGTAAATGTATTTTGTTTAGTTTTTTCATTTTTATATAATTTTTTATTTAGTACAGGGTCTCACTACACAGATCAGACTCGTAGTGATCCTCCTATTTTCAGCCTCCCAAGCACTGGGATCACAGGCATGCGCCAACACACCCAGTTTCAATCTCTGTCTTGGCATGCTCCACAGGCAGGGCTGCTGGGGGGAGGGGACACAGCATGCCAGGAATCAAACCCTGGTCTCTGCATCTGCCTAAGCAAGCACTTTAATCCAGTGAGCTATATGGCTGGTCCTAAATACAGACTTTGAAGAAACTTTAGAGTAGTGCAGAGAGGTGCTGCATTTTTCCAAATGTTAACTTTTTTTTTTTCTCCTCTGTCCTTTACCTTTTTTTCCCTACTATTATGAATGAACAGAAGTTTGTTTTTTGTTTTAATTCCATTTTCTTAAGGGTACTATTCCTATTAAGTATGTTTAGGCTTCCAAGTGACAGTGATTTAATCATTCTCATCTGATCAATTGAGTCATATTTGCCAATATTTCAGGCCATTCTGGTTTCCAACCAAGTAACTAAAATGTTAGTGGATAACTGAGATATGAAGCTTAAACAGTATTATCAGGGATTGTTTATATTTTAGAAGTGGAGTTTTAATAACCAGTGTTATGGCTTGTATCTGAATGTCCCCCAAAGCTTCAAACAGTCATAGGTGGGGCTATTTTAGAGGTGCCTGGATCTAGAGTGTGTGACACTGGGGTTAATTTTTGGTACAGTGCTAGGATTAAGAGCACTAGGATTTTGGGTGTGAGTTGCCTGTCCTGAGCAGACCAGATAAGATATAAAGGATAGAAATAGCTGTAGTCATTCCTTGCTTACTTTTGCTTGCTTCTGCCTGCAGTGAACTATTTTTCTTCTGCAATGCCCCTCTGCCATGTACCACTCTGCGTTGGAGCCAGCCAACTACAAACTGTGAGCTAAATACACCTTTACTCCCTTAACTTGTGGGTGTTGGGTATTTTTTTTCTCAACAACAAGAAGGGAAACTAAGACAACCAGTGACTGCATTTCTGACTTATGATCTTTAGCTGTATCAGCAGAATGGTGTAGAAGGGCTTGATATGATCAGGGAGGAGCTAATGCTATATCCAGTGTTTATATACATACTTGTCTAGTTTGAGACTTTTCTCCAGTGAAGTCATCAAGCCTTGCAAATTTCATTGTAGGAAGGTTTTTGTTTTAAATTTTAGATTCACTTTTCATACATTTATTTGGATGTTGTATGTCATGTTACAGATTTTCTTCTAAGGTATTTAATACTAGGATGCATAGTAAAGTCTCATTTTGTCATCTCTGAGCTTAGTTGTTACATTTCATTTTACCTGTTTTGGTCATACTGAGGATTGAACCCATGGGCCTTACACATGCTAAGCAAGTGCTCTAACACTGAGCTATATCATATCCTAAGTCCTTTGTACTTTGAGACAGTGTCTCACTAAGTTGTCTGAGCTGTTTTTAAACTTGTGATCTTCCTGCCTTGATTGTCTCGGTAGCAGTGATTATAGGTATGTGCCATCATACCTGGCTTCAATTTTTCTTGATTTATTCTTGTTAAAATTTATTTTTATTTTATTAGCATCATTGTTTTTCTGTTTGTATAATTATTTTGTAGTTCATTAGTGTTTATTCTTGATTGATTTTCTTCTCCCTTTCTCTTTTCTTTCGTTTTCTTAACTTACTGTGATGCAAATGTAAATCACTGAGGTTTTTCCATTGTTCCTTTTATATTACACAAGGTTTAGTTGTTGGTATCTTCATTATCATTCACTTCAAAATATTTTCAAATTTCCATTACAATTTTTTCTTTGAGCAGTTGAACTTCTTTATATATTTAGGGGATAAATAAAAAGTCTTACTATTAAACTTTCTGTGTAATAGGAAAAAAGGTCATTTCTCATTTAACATTTTAAGTAAATTATATAGGATGGCTTTGAATTTACTGGGTAGCCTAGACCATCCACAAGCAAATGGCAGATCTGCCTCAGCCTCTCAAGTGCTAAGATTAGGCAGATGCTATCATGCCTGGCTCTTTTCTTTTTTCTTTTCTTAGGGCTGGTCTTGAGCTTACTTTATAGCCAGGCTTGCCTCAAACAAACTCAATGATCCTCTTGCCTCAGCCTCCCTCATGCTGGGGTTACAGGCATGCACTACCACGCTTGACTCATTGCCAAGCTTATTATGCTGATTCTAAAATGTGTACTTGTGAGGTTGGGATGTAGGTTTTTCAGTATTTATTAGTGCACAATAGCTAGTGGGGGAGTTGGTACATGTACATAATACAATACCCCTGGCCTGTTTTCACTTGTCCCCTCCCTTCCATCCACCCTCCTCTCTGGGATACTTAATGGTAGAGCACTCGCCTAGTATTGTATGTACAGGGACTTGGGCTTGATTCCCAGCCTCAAAAAATTCAAAGTTAAATAACTATGCACTTGCTGATTTTATAGCCACTAATAAGAACAGAGGTTATTTGTAACTATAACTTGGTTTTTTGAGACAGGGTCTCACTGACATAGTTGGTCTTGAATTCACTGTGTTGCCCAGGTGAAGTCAACAGCAGTCCTACGCCACTATGCCTAAGCTCTATAATTAAAAGCTTTAATCAGAAGTACAACTATAGGAGTGTTTTTTGGTGGTACTGGCGATTGAACTCAGGACCTTATGCTTGCCAGGCAGGCAAGCACTTACTCTCCCCAGCCCATGAGCATATGTAAAACATGGCTTTCTGTTGTGAAATACAGGTCCCATTAAGTATCAAAATAGTTATAAGGAGCCTAGAAAACAGCATTGCTTATAAAATATAAAGGATGCATAATTGATAATTTAATCAAATATCAAATTAATTTGCTGGTATATGTGGGACAAAGAACTTTGAACTGGGAAAGACAGTAAGTGAATAGCAAGAACCAGATACAGTATTACACACCCGTATGCCCAACTACTTGGGAGGCTAAAGTAGGAGAATTCACTGGAGCCCAAATTGAGAGCTAACCTGGGCAACATTCTGCAAGGCACCATTCCTCATCTCAATAAATGAATAGATTGAGAATTCTAAGGTTTTTTTTTTTGAAAGTCCAGTGTTATATCATAATCAGTGAGTAATCTGAACTTGTGTGTGTGTGTGTGTGTGTGTGTGTATATATATATGTACATATATATAAATTTTTATTTATTTTTTTGCCAGCTTGAAGATTTACAGAAATTTGATTTTAAACTCTCTTATAGTAATTGATGGCTAGTTTATGTCATAGTGAAGATAGTACTTTTTCTACAGTGATTACTAAGTACCATGAGTTAATTATATTGTTCTTTTATATATATTTTTACAGATGGTAGTGAAAACTTTCATGGATATGGATCAGGACTCAGAAGATGAAAAACAGCAGTATCTCCCACTAGCCTTGCATCTTGCATCTGAATTCTTCCTCAGGAACCCTAATAAGGACGTGCGTCTCCTTGTAGCATGTTGTTTAGCTGACATATTTCGAATCTATGCCCCAGAAGCTCCATATACTTCCCATGATAAACTTAAGGTAAGTGCAGCCTTTATAGAATCATGTTACTTTTATGTTTATAGTGTAACTTATCTGTATGAGCAAGTATTAAGTTATTCTTGTCATTTAAAGATTATAGGTTGTCATTTAAAGGTATAATTCAGGAGTAAAGTGGTTGCCTAGTATGTTTGAGGCTTTGGGTGTGATCCACGGGCTGCAAACAAAATGAAACAAAAAAAAAACAGCAGAAAAATTAATCGAGTACCAACATAAAAAACACTGTCACAATTTCAGTGTACCAGTATACGATGTGATGTCTGCGTGGCACGCATGAGGATATGAGTTCAATTCCTGGCACAAAAAAAGAAAAAAACATTAAAAAAGAGGTTGTATGATAAGGTTTTGTTTTGTTTCTGAGACAAGTTTTCACTCTGTAGTTTAGGCTGGTTTTGAACTCAACAGATAGCCCAGGGTGGTCTCAGATTCACGATGATCCTCCTGATTCAGCTTTCCAAGTGCCAAGATTACAGATGTGAGCCATCACGCTAAGCTATTCATATCACAAGTTTTATTTATTTATTTATTTATTTGTATTTAGTATAGGGTCTACAAGGTCTCACTATGTAGCTCGTAGTGATCCTCCTGTTTTCAGCATCCCAAGCTCTGGGATTACAGGTGTGCACCACCACGCCCAGTCTCAGTCATCTCAGCACACCCCAGAGGCAGGCCAGCCTGGCACACCACAGCAGGGATCGAACCTGGCTGCTGTGCTCTGCCTAAGCAGGCGTTTTAGTCCACTGAGCTATCTGGCCAGCCCCATATCAAAAGTTTTTTTTTTTTTTTTTTTTTTTTTTAAGACCGGGGATTGAACTCAGGCCCTTGCACGTGCCAGGGAAGTGCTTATTCCACTGAGCCATCTCCCCAGCCCCATATCATAAGTTTTAAAACTTTATTATTTTTTCAGTCATAATGTTTATTGTCTGCAAAAATTAGTGTTCTTTTTTATTTCAAGACAGGGTCTCATTAACTTGCCCAGGTTGGTAATCTTCCTGCTTCAGCCTCCTAGAGTGTTTGGGATATAACCAAGGGCCACCATGTGTAATTGTTGTTCTGTTTATTATTAACTATATTATTCTTTTGCTGTACCTAACTTACAAATTATTCTTTATCATAGGTTTGTATTTATAAGGAAAAAACTATATGTTGAGTTCAGTGCCATCTGTAATTTCAGGCATCCCCTAGGGTTCTTGAAATGCATCTCCTTTAGACAAGAGGAGAGTAATACAAACAACTTTTTGTGCTGTATTTATGTTATTTTGAGTTTACAACTTTCAGAGAAAGCTTATTAATTAGTAGACTGGCTTTGTTTGGTGGCACACACCTGTAATCCCATCACTCAAGAGGCTGAGGCAGGAGAATTGCTCAGAGTTTGGCGCCAGCCAGAACTACAAAGTGAGATCTCATCTTAAAAAACAAAGAATAAATAAATAAAAGAAGCAGACCAATCTATTGCCTTTATTTTCCTAAAACTTTAAAGTCAGATAACAAATTTAAACTAGGTGATGAACATTGCTGTTTGGGCACAGGAACTAGCACTGGAAAATCTCAAATTCAGCTCCTCAGAAATAAAATAGTGGGGCCGGGGAAATGGCTCAGGAAAATAAGCACTTCCCTGGCATGTGCAAGGGTCTGAGTTCAATCCCCAGTTCTGCCAAAAAAGAAAAAAGAAGTAAAATAGTTGTTTTCCATGATGGCAAGTAAAGGTAGTGAGAGAAATGAAAGTGCTGTAATAGAAAAAATAGGAATGGAGTATGTGAACTCTTACAGAACTCTTATATAAGGCTTATAGAAAGAACACCCTTTCTTTTTGGTTTTATAAGATGAGGTTTTAGGGCCAGTAAGATAGCTCAGCAGACTAAGTGCCTGCTTTGGCAAGCACAAGGACCAGGGTTCAGTCCTAGTCCCCCATGCCCCACTGGCCACTGAGTCCAGATATGATGGTACATACATGTAATCCTAGTGCTGCGGAGGCTGAGACAAGAAGATCACTATGAGTCTAAGCTGCCTAGTGAGACCCTGTACCAAATATATAAATGGAAAAAAGTATATATAGTTTTATTTTCAAATGATTTTAAGTAATGAAGTAGGCCCGTCCCAAGGCAATCAACTGAAGGGTGAATTTCTTTTATTATAGCTTGTATGTCATGAAAGAATGATAAGCATTTGTATCTAAATTAATGTTTTATTTTTTTTTAACAGGACATATTTTTGTTTATTACTCGACAATTGAAAGGTTTGGAAGATACAAAGAGTCCACAGTTTAATAGATACTTTTATTTATTAGAGGTAAAAATAGCATTTATTTAATATATAGCACATTTCACGTAGCAAATTCTTTATATACCAGCATTATAATGTAAAATGAAACTTTTTTTTTTTTAAGTGCAGTACTGAAATATTTTTTCATGAGGAAAATGTTATTGTCTCTCATTCTATAAGTTATTTACTGAAAAAAATGTGAAATTATTTGAAACTCTAGCTCTTATTTTCTATTTTAATCTCAGACTATGTTTGCTGCTCTTAAAATTTATATGTGTATCTATATATCTATTTATCTATCTATATATGTATATATTTTGAACCCCTAAATAGTTAGTGTTAATCAGTTTGGAAAAATTGATAACCCTCAGGTAATGTCTTTAAGGATAAGTGTTAAATAACTAGTTTGTTTTCACTTCTAATTTTTTATGTTGGATATTTATAGGCTTTAATGTAGATTCTTAATTCTTAAAAATTAAAGTTTACTAATGAGTTTGCTTTTCTGTGGCTGTTCTGTACATATGTAATTATTTATTTTTATTTATTTAAGAATTTAGCTTGGGTTAAATCATATAATATCTGCTTTGAATTGGAAGATTGCAATGAAATTTTTATTCAGCTTTTTAGAACTCTCTTCTCAGTGATCAAGTAAGTTCTTAAGCATATTTACTTGTCTTTTTCTTGCTCTGTATATCAAAATGTTATGTGCTGTATATGTGTGAAAAAGAAAGAAAAATTCTGTTTCCCTAAAAGCTGTCTTTGGAATGAATTTAATGGTTGACTCATCTATACCTTGTCCTGTACTGGTGGCTATGGAATAGTAGTGAAGTTTAAAAAACAGCCCAGCTGGGCATGGTGACATACACCTGTAATCCCAGCACTCAGCCTGAGTCAGGAGGATTTTTGGGAGCTCAAGGCCAGTCTGAACCACATAGTGACACCCTGTTTCAAACAAAAATAAATAAGCCCTTGTTTTAAAGAAATGTGTAGTCTTATCTAGCATACTTTCTAAGAAAATGGAATGAGAAATTAAGATACTGAAGCACTAAATTATGAGGCACAAATCATGAGTATCCCATATTCTAATAGTATTGAGTTATATAGCTAAATTCTTTTTTTTCCCATAATTTTATTGAGAAACAAATAGCAAAGAGACAGTTTCAAACCAAAGTGGTAGGACAGTTTCAGTAATTAACACATTGCATACATTCTTCCTAGTGGTTAATTGCTGTACAAGATGCGGACATGATACCCTATTTACAAACAATATTTAGAACAAATCTCTATAAATTAAGGGAATGTAACTACATATCTATCCTAACCACTTTGAATACACAGATACAAAATGGACATTCATCTGTATCCCCTTTTTTTGTTAAGTTCCGTTATTTGAATATTATTGGTGTGTTAACTCTATATAGCTAAATTCTTAACTGACTTTGATTATCTTCTTATTTTAAAGCTAGAAAAAATGATAGGCTAATTGTGATGGTGCACACCTATAATTCCAGCTATTTGGGAGCCTAAGGCAAGAGGTACACTAGTCTGAGCCCCGCTTTGGTGATTTAGTGAGGTATTGACCATATTTTAAAAATAAGATTGGATGAAGATGTAGCTCATCAGCAAAGCATTCGCCTTGCATCCATCAGGTCCTGAGTCACATCCCTAAAACTGCAGAGGAAAGTTTTTTTTTAAAATTGCTTAAGTCACCTCTTCATAAAAAAATTAGGGAAACTAAGGTACACACAGTATGGCGGCTTAATAAAAAGAATTATCACTTCAACATGTGACTTTATACTTAAGATATTCAGTAGCCATATATAGCTAATGGCTTGTATACCAGATGGCACATTTTGAGAATCTCATGTAGGGTTTTTAGGAATATTGAATCATTTGTTTTCCTACTCCTCTGATAGAATATAGATTAGATGTTAGCTTGGAATAACTAGGAATTAACTACTACCTTGCTTTAGAGCTAGAAATTAAAGAAAGATGGCTTGGGGAGCTACTTCATGTGTGTTGTGACTCAAGTAATTGATAAGATACATAAACCTTACTTTTGTATTAACTGGTGCTGTGTAACAGATGAACCTAAATCACATAAAGTGGCCATATTTCATTTAATCCATGCTTCTCCTTAGCTGTTTCATCTGGTCTGAATCCTCTCCAGAGTTTGTGGTCAGCTGAACATGTCTTTCATCACCCACCAGACCAGGCCAACCTCTTCATATGCTGTGTAGGTTTCAGAAATAGCAAGAAAGGGCAAGCTTTGTTCCACAAGCAATTTTTCAAACATTGGCAGCTTCACTGGGGCCAAGCAAGACACTCAGACAAACCCAGATTCAGGGGTTGGTTGGCTAGTCTCCATATGTTTTTATAGTTTTGTATGTGGTGCTAGGGATTGAACTCAAGGCCTGGTACGTGCTAGGCAAGCTCTCTACCAGTGAAGCACACATCTAAGCCATCCACTCTGTATAGTATAGGAAGAACAGTAAATATTGTAAAAAGATATACTTACAGAAATGGAAATGATTAGTGACCATTGTTTGTTTTGTTGGACTTTGGGACTTTTCTTTTGAGATTCTGCAACTCATTTAACATTTTGCTCTTTCTTCGACCTTAACTATATACTTAAATCTGCTTCATCCCTGCAGTTATTACAATTCTGCCAATCTCTTTATTTCAGGATTACTGATATGTACACACAGTTTTGGGTTTTGGGGTTTTTTTTTAGTCTGTTAATATTTTTATTTCCTGAATCTGAAGACTGTTTCCCTTGTTCACCTAATAATTCAAGTATTTTACAATGAAATATGAGTAAACAAAGACTTGCCTTTAAGAAAGAAGAGCTCACCAGGGGCATGGTAGAAATTCAAGGCCAGCCTGAACTGTGTAATATGACCCTATCTTAAAAATAAATAGATATTTAAAAAGAGCTTGTTGATTGAACTTAATACATATGTCATATCTGATATTCATTTGCATAGGTACAGATTTGCATCTAGTGTAATTTATTTTTTTCTCAGAACTGGGGATTGAACTCAGGCCCTTTGCTTGCCAGGCAAGTGCTTATTCTACTGAGCCATCTCCCTGGCCCCTAGTGTAATTTATTTTTAATCTGAAGGACTTTCTTTAACATTTCCTATAATTCAGATCCACTGGTAATAGAATTTCTGTACCTGAAAAGGTCTTTGTTCCATATTTACTCTGGAAAGTTGTTTTTACTATATTCAGAGTTTCATATTGATAGCATGTAGGGTTTCTTCCCCGTTTCTTTAGTATACCGTCTGCCCAGTGACTTACCACATGCTAGGCAAGCTACCACTGAACTACATCCCCAGGCCCCTTTCAGTACTTTAATGATAATTGCTCTATCTTTTTCTGGCTCTTTGTTTGCAACAAGGTATTTTTTGGTTTTGAATTTTTGTCTTTCTCTGTTTTTCTCTCTTTTGTTTTTCAAACTGTCTTTAGGGTTTCTCTTTATTGTTCACTTTAGGTGATTGTATTATAATATACTATGGTTTTCTTTCTGTTTCTTACACTTTGAGGCTGTTAGAGCTTTTAGTATTTATAATTTTATATATATACCCTTCTGATTACTTTTGAAAACTTTTGTTTCAGGGAGCATTCTCTGGTTCATTTAGGGGCTTATTTCCTCCAAAATCAGGGGATTTTCTCACTGACTGTGATCGGCAAGCATTTGAAGATTCTTTGTGCTTGGAACAGGGAAATACCTCAGCAGTGTAAGAGTCTGCCTGGCAAGTGCAAGGTCTGGAGTTCGATCTCTGGTACAAAAAGAGAGAGAGAATACTGAAAAGATTCTTCGAGCTTGTGTTGAATATACTTCTCTGAAAACTCTTAAGTCTTCATAGATCCCCACCCTGTATGACAGCCAGAAACTTACTGTGCTAAGCTAGGAAAATTGCACCATGTATGTGTAAGGTGTCTAAAAACTATTTCATATATTTTGTCTGATTTCTAGTTGTTATAAGTATTAGGAAAAAGCCTATTTTTGTAGTCAACTCTTACTAGAAGTGAAAGTCTGTGCTTATTGATTTAAATTGTTAGAAGTTGTGGAATAATTTTAAGTCTCTATCTTTGTATCCCTTCCTTACCCTCAAGTAATTATGGGTCTGAGAGTGAAGTACTCTGGTTTTGCATTGTTTTGTATCATGTTCTCCCAATTCCCCCTGTGCTTGATGCCCATTTGTAAAACTATAGTTGATCCTTTACAATCTTGTCATCTTGTAAAGTAAAATATTTGAGAGTATGCAAAATAAATTTCTTTGTCAAGATTGTAGGAAGCTGTGCCTCTAACAGCATGAAAAGTTTTTTCTACCAGATTTTCAGTTTTTATCTTTGAATATTTTTTACATAGTAAATAAACTTTATCTGCTCCTTGAAGATGACATTGCTAATAGCCACAGATCCGCATATAGTACAGTTTGTATTTACTATTTACAGTAGTATTTTTTTCTCTGAAAAATATACAAAAGCTAAGTAAACAATGAGGTACTGCCATGTGGGGTTTATCATATGTCATAGCTTAAATAACTAGTCTTTAGCAAATACTGAGGAATCAGTGTGGTTAATAGTCAATTAAATGCTATAATTTATTAGAAAAATCCACCAAGTTTCACCTCAAAATATATTGCACAGATCTTTAAAAAAAGAAAAAAAAAAAAACCCACTCTAGAAATAAATAAGGTAAGCAGATCTTTAAAAAGAGCAAGAATGAAACGATCATTAATTGAGCCCATAAATCAGTTAAGTTATTCAAAATATCTTTTTAATAACATAAATTTCTTCCGAAAAGAAAACTGAAGACAAAAGAAAACATTATCATCACTTCTCCACTGATGAATCTGTTGTAAAAGCAGTCTGCAGTATACCTATGGGCCAATGTCAGATCTTTGTCACTGGCTACATGAAGGACCCTAAATGACAGCTTCATTCTCGAATGAATGAGCATACATGGACAGTTTTCCAAGTAGCAGTTGCCCAACATCACTCTCCTCATTTCTTCAAGATGAAGATTGAACCCATGACATTAGCCGTGTATCTTCTCTTTGCAAAATTTTCTTGAGTTTGATCATCAGGGAACTTTAGTACAGTGGTTATAACCTTTGTCATGGTCTTAGTCTCATGACCCATCATATACTCAAAGAGCACTTTTCATAAATATTTAAACTCGTTAGGTTCTCCAAAAAGTGAGACATCAGTATGGTAAAAATTGCTCCCTTTATAAGGTGTTGCCACATACATATTCTTTTCATATTTCTTTAAACAGTCTTCTAAATTGTGAATCTGTTCTCTGAACTCCTGGTCTTTTCAACTTTGAACCACTGATTACATATGTCTTCCTTGCTAGTTGTATCTGTGGTGCCATAATTGTTACATTAACATTATCAGCAGTTTCCTGCTGTAGCTTTTGATGATGTTCCTTCCACAGTTCCTTGAGTTGGGTTTGCAGGTCCATTACTTTTACAGTTATTTCTTCACGAGCATCAGGGATTTCTTCATTCATATCTTTTGGCTGTTCTTTGTAGATCATCATCCTCTGCAATTTTTTTATTGTCCTTTCTTGATGGCTTTCTAAAAGTTCAGTCTCTTTATGTTTTTTTTTGGCGGAACCGAGGATTGAACTCAAGCCCTTGCGCTTGCCACGGAAGCGCTTATTTCAATGAGCCATCTCCCCGGCCCCCAGTTTCTTTATGTTTGAATATTATCACTGAAGTGTTAGACAAGTCACTTTCGTTATTTTAAGTTAATTGGTAATTAAAACATCCCCGTGTATTTATAATAGTGTAAGTATCATTTTCCTTAGGATGCCATTCAAGTCAGGATGCATGTGTGTGTGTCTACAGAATATACTTCATTCAAAATTAGGGTGATCTTAATTTTTGTGAAATACTTTCTCATGCCTTGCATCCGTCAACAACAGAGAGGGAGAGGTAAATACAGCTGCCAAAATTTCTTTGCCATTATTAGCATTGTTTTCTCAAGTGAAAATCCTTTTACATTGAGATTTTTGTTTTAAACTGGGAAGTTTGTCTTTCTATATATATATACCTCACTTTTTTTATTTCCTTTTCCAGCAATAGCCACAATAAGAAGGTACAAATGCACATGCTAGACTTGATGAGTTCTATCATCATGGAAGGTGATGGAGTTACTCAAGAATTATTGGACTCCATACTTATTAACCTCATACCTGCACATAAGGTCTGTGTACTATGGAAATATGAAATATTAATATTTAAAGATAGTGTTATGATTAACTTTTGAGAATTTGTAATCACATATAATCATTTTCAGTTACCCTCTTTCTTGTCTCTAATAATGTTGCACATGTCTTGTAGCTATCATTTTTAGAAGATCTGCATATGGTTAAGATTATGTGAAATATGCTTAAGATCATGTAAGATTTTTATTTCATTCTTGTTTTTCAACATTAGGAAAGGTTTATATTCATTACTCATAACTCATCTGGGAATTAAAAGGTGGTCTTAGGAGGGTTTGTTTTGTCTGGTAAAGAAATGTCTTTTGTCCTTTATAGCATAGATCTGGAACATGGGAGCTTGTATTTCTTTCCCAAATTCATACTGTACATTTTTTTCTTAGGCACTAACAGAAAAATTTGGAGCAGAATTGGGAGCTTATAGTTAATGTTATGGAGAAAAGGATGGTTGAGTGCTGTATCATTCCACCCCATTTCTTTTCTCTATTCTTTTCACCAGGTTCTCCAAAGAAACTGAAGGATTTGACTTCCCATAGGCTCCACACCTGGCCTTTACTCAAGTGCCTCCTTTGCCCAAGTTTTGATATTTGCCTTCCTGTTCTTGTGCCCTAATTGTTCAGTAACATATTATCAGAAGTTAGTTGAACAGTGTCTCAAACTATACTTACTTTTAACATGTGATTAATTTGAAATTCTTGACTATAATATTTGCATTTTATTAATGCAAATGAATATGGTTGGTGAAAAAACATCAAGGGTAGGAAAAAGCGTATCTTAAGCAAAATAAGAAAAAACATAAATAGGAAGTATGTTTGATAACTTTTAGGCTAGATATATTCTAATATTTTGTGAATGGGAAGGATATACTCTTTCAAGAAACAAATAATGACTTTATCCTTTTGCCAATGGAATAAAAGCTGAGAGCAAGGGTCAGGAAGCTATAGCTTTTGGGTCAAATCTGGACTATTCCCATATTTGTGTAAGGACAGTAGTCCTCTCATTTTTATGGCTTTGATGTCCACATTTTTATCTACACTGTCCAAAAACATGGAAAATTCTACAAATAATGCATATATTTGAAATCGCATATTCTGTCTAGGGTAATGAAGTACCACGTTGTCTAGCTCTATCCTGGCCAAAGTGAATCATCTTTTTCAGTGTATCTACATTGTATATGCTAGTAGCCCATTAATGATTTGTAGTCAAGTTTAAAGTCAGATGAATTGGTATTACAGTGTTTCTTACATTTACGTAACATTTATTTTATTTGTATGGTACCAAAGGCCAAAAGTACTGAGATTGGCACTTCAGATAATGCTGAGGTTGCTAACATCTCTTGTAAGATCAGTAGGAAAAAACAGGTTGTACATCTCCATACTGAAATGCTACACAGTCCAAAATCTTCTGAGTACCAGCTTGATATCACAAGTGGAAAAAAAAATCCATGACTGACCCCGTGTGATGAATTGTAATGAAAACACAGTAGGACCAAAAATATTATATAAAATTACATTCAGGCTCTGTGTGAAGGGTTTATATGAAGTATAAATGAATTTCAGGTTTGAGATTTGGGTCCCATCCCCACGTTTTCTCATTATGGATATGTAACTCCTCCAAACTCAGCAGTCATATACTTCTGATCCCAAGTACTTCAAATAAGGGATATTTTACTTATTTATGCAGTGGTTGGTACCATCTGTGGTTTCATACTGATGGGGGTCTTATAACATTTCTCTCAAAGATAAGGGAGTATTTTGGGAACCCAACATGCTGTTTTTATTTTGATTATGGCTGCTTTCAGGTATACCAGCAAACTTGTGTATTTGCAGCAGTAACTGTATAAATTTTTATAGGGCCGGGGGAAATGGCTCAGTGGAATAAGCGCTTCCCTGGCAAGCACTTCCCTGAGTTCAATGCCCAGTTCTGCAAAAAAAACTCCAAAAAAACAAAAAACAAACAAAAAAAAAACAAACCACTTTTACTGTGTGGCCCACCCTTTACATACAGTGTGCTAACCATTGCCCTACAGGGTAGGATTCCCTGGCCTTTCTGAGATAAGTACAAGATGATGGTGAGTCAATCGCAGTTTGGTCCCAAACTTCATAGTATAGAGATATTAGCAAATATTTTTTAAACACTTTTTTTGATATATTCTTTTCAAAATTGAACATTTGTCATTGCTTCATTGTTTCTCAGACCCTTTAATTTGTTACAGTGCCCTGGGACTTGAAGAGGGAGTGTAGTAATCACCATTTCAAGAATAAAATCAATCAATCACCTTTTTTTTTTTTTTTTTAACTTTCCAGGTCTACTCTTCTTCAGAATGTGTAGTAGTTAAGTAATTAAACACTGACTCTGGTGGATTAGAATGAGGGGGTGGGATGAGGCGTTTGTTTAGGATTCATGTGAATAATTGCCAGCTCATAGGTTAAAGCATTATATTTTTCATTCATTTTAATTGAGCAGAATACTATAGTGTTTTAATGATTTTCATAAATTCATCAATTTAATTTGTAACTTTGTATGTTTTTATTGTTTTTCAGAACTTAAATAAACAGTCCTTTGACCTTGCAAAAGTCCTCTTAAAGAGGACAGTTCAGACTATTGAGGCATGCATTGCCAATGTATGTATTTTTTTCTGTATTTGTTCTATAATTGTATAATCTATTGTACCATATTATACCCATTCATATACATATTTATTCAATGAACAATTTTCATGTTTAGAAAAAAATGTAAAATATTTATAATTCTAGCATAAAAGTTGAAATGCAGCCTGACTTCATAAACTATTAGCTTGCTTTTATTTAGTGCAAGATAGTAGATGCTATTTTTTGAAAATGTACCTACAACCACCAGCCATTCTTTCTGCCTTTGTATCTATATTTTTCTTATTATCTCCAAGGTACATTAATTGCTTTTACTTTCTCTCTTCATCTTGATCTGTGAATATGTGTCTCATTTTATTTTATATATTTTCCTCTGTTTCTTCTAAATCATTATCCAGAAATCCTTCTGTTTATTCTTCTTTTATAGGTTTTATATAAATACATTGGTTAGAAAATTTATTGATTAAAGGCTGGGATGAGGCTCAGTAGCAGTGTACTTGTCTGTCATCTTTGAGGCCCTAGGTTAGATCTCTGTACCTCGCAAACACACACACTTACTCTCTGAAAGTTTGCTATGCTCAGTAATTTAGAAAAAAAAAAGTATTATCTCAATATAGCAGTTAATTGTTGCACATTTACTTGTATTCATAGCTGTTTTTTTATGCTCCATGTAGCTTTTGTTCTATATTTTTATTTTTTAATTTTATGAATGGCTGTAAATGTCCTTTGAAATTTGTAATACCCATTTATTTATTGCGCTGCATTAAAATTTGTGCTTTCCTTTACAAATCAGTCTGCACATGTAATGTCTATCTGCTATTGAATATTTTGTTAATTTAGATCACATAATATCCTGTTACTAAATTTTTTAATGGATTAAAAAAGGATTTGTAGGGGGCCGGGGAGATGGCTCAGTGGAATAAGTGCTTCCCTGGCAAGTGCAAGGGCCTGAGTTCAATCCCTGGTTCCACAAAAAAAAAAAAAAAAAAAAAAAGAAAAAAGGATTTTTAGGTAGTATAAAAAGTACACAGTGAAACAAACATGTTTTTCAAATATAATACTGTATTCTCACATTACAGAAATAACCATCACTGTTTTTATATATTCATGATTTCCACAAGTATCCTAAGCTTATTTTTGTGTAGGTCATTAAAATTCTTTTTCATTATTTACAAGGTCTCATATAATACATTTTCTATAAAACAATTTTATTGTATGATTATGTTTAAAAGTGTGCAGTACTATTTTATATATCCTTGTTGTTTTGTTTTCTGAGACAGGGTCTCACTGTATAATTCAGGCTAGCCTTGTACTCACTGTGTAGCCCAGGCTGGCCTTGCACTCATGGTTCTACTGCTGTCTCAGCCTCCTGAGTGTTTAAATTATAGGCCTGCACTGCCACACCTCGTTAGATTCGCCTTTTATATTCTTCAGCCTTGAAAACGTATTCTTTGATGAGTATTACAGACGTGGGGCCAGAGAAACTTAGGGAATGAACAATTAGAATTAGTTGTATTTTAGAGGAGCACATCATTTAATTCACTCACTTTTCAACTAAATAGAAGGTACAGTACTTAATTCACTAAATATAGCAAACAGTGGTATAATTTTTTAAATATATATTATGCATTTAGTACAGGATCTACAGGTTCTCACTTTTTACTTAAGACTTTTATTAAAGGTGGCAGCACATTATCCTATTTACCTAAGTTAATGCTTGTAATATAAAAGAATAATGCATAGCAAGAAAGATGGTGAATCCCCAAATATCAAGGGGTCTGAGTCCTCTTCCCCAGGAATTTTTCACCCTTGGGAACGTGGTCAAGGCCTTGACTATCCTTCGGTGCCCTCTAGAGGGCGTAGACTCAGAGCGCCCACGAGAGGAGACTCAAGAGGGAGAAGGTGAGCTGAGTGCAGAATGCATGCAGGGAAAGCAGTGCTATGATCAGGGTGGAGGCTGCAATGTCTTTTGCTTCTCACAAGCCAAAGGAGATACAGGGTCTCACCTCACAGATAAAACTCATAGTGGCCCGCCTGTGTGCAGCCTCCCAAGAGCTGGGATTACAGGCTTCTGCCATCATGCCTAGTCTCAATCTTGTGGTCTCAGCATGCCCCAAGGGCGGGGCTGGCATGGAAGTCGGGGAATCGAACCCCCAGTCCATGTCCACCTAAATAGGTGCTTTAATCCGCTGAGCTATCTGGCCTGCCAACAATGGTATAACTTTAAATTATAGCTAATTAAAAATTTTAATTGCCTTTCATTAAAGAATTGGTAATAGTATGAGCAATATGAACCATCATTTCCATGTTTATTTATTTATTTTTAATATATTTAGTACAGGGTCTCACTACATGTAGATTGTACTCCTTAGTGATTTTTTTCAACTTCCCAAGTGCTAAGATTACAGATGCATGCCACCACACCCAGCCTCAGTAGCTATCTCAGTTCGCTCTAGGTCTGGGGCTGTCTCAGCACACTGGGGATTGAACCTCGGCCACTGTGCTCTGCCTAAGCAGGCGCTTTAGTCCACTGAGCTGTCTGGCCAACCCTCCCATTTATTTTTATTAATGCACATTTGCAATACATTTACATTCATTTTAGGGAGTAGGTTACATGTATCTAACATACCTGCATTATTTTTAATTTCTCCTTCCCACATCATCTCCCTTTTATTTTGTTTTCTGGTTGGTTGGTTTGGTTTTTGTTTTTTGAGATAGGTCTTGCCTTGAACTTACTGTGTAGCCCAGGCTGTCCTAGCACTCGTTGATCCTCCTGCATCATCCATCCAAGAGCTGGGATTATAGACATGTGCCACCACTCCTGTTCTTTTTAAAAATTATTACACATTGGGTTTCTCATATAAAAGAAAGTGTGCTATATTTTAAGTTGTGTACATTGATGACTTCATATTTTTTGTCTGAGTTTCATTAATTTCCACTCTAATCTTATGATTTTCTGTTTCATACCAGAGTTGGGCTTAACTGTTCTTGTTTTTCTAGGACATTTAGATGTTTTGTTACTTACCTGAGCTTGCTCTGCTCTACTGTGAGTCTTCACAGCAGTAAACTTCTTAGGATTTTTTCATTGTGTCCCATAGGTTCTGTTATGTTTACTGGCATTATTGTTTGATTTTTTTTTTTGTGAGAGCTATTGAATATTCATAACTTTTAAAAATGTAAATGCTTATAAAGTTTCTATGGTTTCTGTGAGTATATGATGTTGTCCTTCAAATGTGTGTTTATGGTCACATATTCTCACATTGGTTACTTCTGTTCATAGATTCAGTAGAATTCCTTATCTTTGGGATTTTTGTTTGGCACCTTTTCACGGACTCTGTTTCTTTAGTAAGGTTGTGTTTTATATTTTGAATGGTTTCAGTTAGCTCTGCTAACTTTTTTGACTCAGCTTTACCACATTGATTGATTTATTTAATTGTAATTTTGTTATATTACTTTTGTGCTTGCTGAATTTCTTTTCTGCTTCTTTGATCATTTTGTATGGTCTGCCTGTTTGGTGTTTGACTTCTCCTATATTGGTGTTCTTTTAAACTGCTTTGGGGGTAGAAAGCATTTTTTTGCTTCGTTTATTTCATGTTCATATGTATGGTGCTAAGGGTTTGAGATCAAGTGAAGGGAAGAGATTGTTGGTATGAAGATCTCTTTAGTTAGGTTCTGTTTCCAGTTCTATGATACTGGTTTTATTTGTCAAGAAATTTCTGTCTACCATTTCATTCTGTTCAGTTTAATTGGGTTCGACCCATTCTCTGTGTTGTAAAGGGATAATTCCTACTGGTTATACAGCATCCATACATCATTCAAGAGCATTTAACTTTTTTAAAATAATTTCATCATTTTATTAGTGTGTCTTACAGGTTTTACTGTAAAGCTATTATTAATTAGTTAGGGATGTGGAGGGAGTAAGGACAAAAGGGAAAAAGGGAGAGTATGTAAGGAGTCTTTTCCTGAGCCTGGTCTCTGCAGCTCTGTCTCTTTCCCTTGGGCTGTTAGATCTGCACCTAACATGGCCTGTTAGCTGAGGTAAACGTGTCAGGGGAGCTTTTGGACCAGCTCTTAGCCCCCATCCCCCATTTCCTTTTTCAGATGTTTTATTTCTGTTTTCAGAATTCATCTTTTATTTTCTGTCGATATTTCTCTCCCCCTTTGAGATTACTTGCATTATCATTGTCTTCAAAGCTTCTTCAGTTTATCTTCTTTATCATACTAAAAAGAATATGAATATTTTCAACTTAATTTGTGTTGGCTCTTGAAAGGTATCTATTAATGATACCAGAAACATGCTTTTATCAATTGTATACAACTCCCTTTTTAAAGAATTTATTTCATTCTAGTAAGTTTTTTAGAATCTGGGAGGGTATCTTTTAACTTGTGCCCCTTAGTGTTAATATATTTTTTTTCTGTAACATGTTATCAGCTAGTTTTTGTATCATCAGTTTTCCTTTTTGTGTCTTGAGTCAAAATGTATTTACATTTTTCTCATACTGACAAAACAAATGAATAAAAAGCCTTTTCATATTTAAATATTGTTTATTAAAAAGCCAATGGAAAAATAGTTTTAAATAAGCAGATACTGAGAATTTAAAATTTTTCTCTACATGGAAATAGCTGTATCTGTATAAAATTCTCTATGGTAAACTATATGGTCTGTATAAATTACTAATTGAAACACAGCTAAACAATCCAATGCATTTTTTACTTCTTGTAATATTTGTGATTTGATATTAATCAGAAGTATATTTCTTCTGTTTATATGCCTGCCCTATTATATATTAATAATTCAAACATCTTATTCTGTATCATCTGTCTGTTTTATAATCAGTGCCTGACTGTATAATTTTAAAAAACATTCATGAACTGATTCAAGTTTTTAAATGAAATATATGTTATTTTTAATATCTCCTATAGTTTTTTAATCAAGTCCTGGTGCTGGGAAGATCGTCAGTAAGTGATTTGTCAGAACATGTATTTGATCTCATTCAGGAACTTTTTGCCATAGATCCTCATTTGTTATTATCTGTCATGCCACAGCTTGAATTCAAACTGAAGGTAAGATTGACTAATTTTCAAGACCTTTAAGGTTTTTTTGTTTCATTTTGCTTTTTTTTTTTTTTTTTTTTTTTTTAATTTTTGGTAAGGGTCTTCCAGGCTGTTCAGGGTCTCACTACTAGATCGGACTCATAGTGAGCTGTCAAGGTCTTTAAGTTTAAAGAATATATTGGAGAGGTTTTTTTCAGAACTATAAGAATGTAATGTAAGTTGAATTTGCTGTCTTTTCAAAGATACATTTCTCATTTGTTTGAAGAAAACTCATTTGGGTGAGAGGTGAACTTACATGTCAAAGATATACCTAGGTATTAAAATATCTCCTGATGGGTGGGGGAGATAACTAAGCAGTCTAAGCACCTGCCTGGCAAGCACAAGGACCCAGGTTTGATCCCTGACACTGTACCATGCTGGCCCCATGAGGAGCCAGTTACCAAAACTGGGCGTGGTGGTGCATGCCTGTAGTCCCCGCACTGGGGAGGCTGAGATAGGATCACTAGGAGTCTGAGCTGCATAGCGAGACCCTAAACCAAATGAATGAATGATGAATGAGATTTTTAAAATGTATCTCCTGATAAACTGAATAATGATGTTACTCTTAAAATTTACAATATATACTATATTGACATTAAATCATGTTTATTAGACTAGTTGTATTTTTAAAAGAGGATTTTAAACTGAGTACTCAGAGGTTTTCAGTTACAATTTCATGACCCTTTTATGGTATAGATCAAGGAAAAAGTTGTTGCATTAGTTGAGAGTATATTTTTGTAACTAACTTAGCAAGGAATTACAACTTTAAAAAAGCTTACATTCAATCCCACATCTTAACTTTGCAGAGGGGTTGGTGGTTGAGGCAGGGTCATATGTATAATTCAGCCTGGGCATGAACTAATTACGTAGCTGATGATGGTCTCAAACTCATGTGATCCTCCTGCCTTAACCTTCTAAGTGCTGGGATTAGAGGTGTACACCACCACATCTGGCTAGAGTCTAACTTTTAACTATTTGAGTACCAGGGATAGAACCCAAGACCTTGAGCATGCTACGCTTTACCACTGAGTAACAACCCCAGTTCTTTTTGTTTTACGTTTTGAGACGCAGTATAAGTTGCCCATGCTGGCCTGTGACTTGTGATCTTCCTCTCTCACCCTAATGAGTTACTGTGTTTACAGGCATGTCTCACTATGCATGGTTTTATATATACATATATACAGGTAGATGGATAGATAGTATTACTTGATTCTTAACTCAAACTCTTATATAATTAACCTGAAAGTTTATTTTTAGTTAAAAAAGATGAATGTTTTGTTTAGCCTTATATATACATGATTAAAAATTGTATATTTTCCTTATTATAAAAATTTGATATTTATAGTATAAAGGACATGGCATCAATAGGGGTTTTCTTGTGAAATACTGGTTTTAAGAAAAATATCCAGAAAATGGTTTTTTTGGGGGGTTTCATTAACAGTATAAAAATGACATTAAATTTCATTACATGATAAATTATTTTTATGTGTAAGTAATTAAACTATTTTCCCCATACCTTTTATAGAGTTTAAATATGTAAAATCAATCCCTTTTAACTCTCAGGCAAGACTACTATGATAAATGGTAGCAACAGATTACAAATTAATCTTAGATTTATTTTTTTTGAGCTTATTACAAGCTGTGGAAAGCTGTGCTATAGTGGTTATTCATACTGAATGTTTTACTTGTTTCTTAAACTGATATATACATATATGATAATTTATTCATATATATTTATATATTTATTATATATAATTTATATATTATATAAATTATATCATGTATATAATTTATTTAAAGCAGAGATACTAAGAAGCTGAGTCCAGATTGCAAATAAGTCCAGATGTATGCATTTTCAATGTTAAAACAGACAATCTAGCATTGTTGGGCTCTTGTTTCTTTTCTTTTTTTGTATTTAGTACGGGGTCTACAGGGTCTCCCTACACAGATCAGACTCGTAGCGATCCTCCATTTTTCAGCCTCCCAAGAACTGGGATTACAGGCCCTCAGTACCATGCCCAGTCTCAATTGCCATCTCCTTGTACCCTGGGGATGGGGCTGGCATGCCATGTCTGGGATCAAACCCTGACCACTGCACTCTGCCTAAGCAGGCGTTTAGTTTGCTGAGTTATCTGGCTACCCCTGAGCTCTTGTTTCTTACATGACTACAAAACAGCTAGACCGCACACTGTCAATAATTATTTCTTTATTTTGTACCTACATTTTTTTCATTGATGAAAGTTGATTTCATAACTGTGCTCTAATGTTAATGAATATGAACATGAATTTTTCATAAACCTCTTAATTTTTTAAAACTAAAATTTCTGTTTATGACTATTGAGTCTCTTTTAAGTTAATATGTCTAGCATAAGACCATCAAAGTTTTTTTTTATTAGTAAATTTCTTTAATACTGTGTCTAAATAATGATAATGGTTCTTACAATAAACAAGTGCCATTTTCTCTTTCCTTATTTGCTTAGTAAATCCTGCTGTGTAGTAGCATTTTTTTGTATCCCAAATGAATAAGCAAGCTAAGAATGTCTGAGTAAATGTAATTGTAGTGGCCTGTTTTCAGTCAGCAGCATATGCTGAGCCAATAGCCTACAAAGTTTTTGTGGCTTTAAAGATTTTCTGTGATTGTAATTTTGAATCATATATCCATAACCTTTTATAGTTGGGAGGCTTTGATTACAGTCCTTTGAGCACAATAAAGACATTTGATAAGATGCTTCACTATAAGACTTTGTTTGGTTTAACTGTATACTGTGCTACTGGGCTCTACATCCATTGCCTGCTCATGGATTCAGTGTACAATTGTCGTGTGTAATGCATACTTTGCAGTTGTATTACTTAGCAGTCTTGTCCAAAATTAATTAGGAATTTTCCCTCATTTCACATTTAAGAATTATGTTCATGGTGAAGGAAAGAAAGAGGAACACTTATATTTCTTCTTCAAAGTTAAACATTTTAAAACAATTATATTTGCTTCATTTTGGTTCAGGTAAAAACCAGCTTTTGATAGAAAGTTATTCAAAATTATTTTATAATTAAAAGCAATAGTACAGTTACCATTTCCTGCTAGAATTGGACAGAAATAAAAATTTGATTGGCTTCATTGAATTTTTTGAGATGTCAGTGAATTATTAATGTAAATTGTCACTTTTGTTCATTTTTATTACAGTTGTTTATAATTCACTGTATTATGTGATACTTACTTTGGCATAGAAGAACAATACAACTCTGCATCAGAGACATCAGGTCTCTGTGCCACAAAGTTTATCATCAGTCACTGTAATCATTCAGTTTTATTTAAGAACTATGCTTTTTAATTTTGCAAAGTCAGTAAGAGGCAATTTTTTACTTAGTATTTACTTTAGTACTTTATAGATGTGGAGTCTACTTAAGTAGTCATTCATAAGTAGAATACAGTGGATTTATTCCAGGATTTGACATTGAAATAATTTTTGCTCTTAAAAATAATGTTGGCTAGTGAGTTTACAGTTATTAAAAATGGTACACTTCAGCATTGTTCACTTTGCCTGAGAAAAACTTTTTTTTTTATTAATTTAATTGAGAAACAAATAGCAATGAGACAGTTTCAAACCAAAGTGGTAGGACAGTTTCAATAATTAACACATTGCATACATTCTTCCTAGTGGTTATTTGCTGTACAAGATGCAGACATGATATCCTATTTA